GAGACTCACTTTACTCATTTTGAATATTCCAGATCGTTTGAACTCAATTCCAGTGTTCTTCCATTTGTATAGCCTCGTCGCTTTCAGTAACTTCGTCATTGAAAAGAGAAAATTTCCAACTTGTCTCCTGGTGATTTGTAGAAGTGTTTGCTCTCGTTGAATTTCCTCCATTTCACTTTGCAACAGTCTGTTCGGCCTTCATTTGGAGACAACTGCCTCACAAAGCATCAACTATTCGCTTTAGTTGGTTTACACGCACCTTGCCATGCAATTATTGAACGTTTTTTGGATCATTATGGATTCACGACTGCCGTGGTTACTGTAAAGAATACACTTCACCGTATTTCGTCCAGAACTCCTATCCCAGGGTCTAATCCTTTCCCTCTAAGAGACCAAAGATAGATTACGGAAACGATGTAGCACTACGAATGCATGATTTGATTCCGTGTAAATGCACTACCAGTCCGCCGTACTTCTGTAGGAATTCATTCATAGTGTTTGGTTCAATCGTCATTCATTAGATGCTAAAAGAGCGAACAGTCTTTAAAAAGTACATGCTTCTTAACAACCGGGAAAAAGTGTTAAATGCTGTCTCCGAAATCCAATGCAGAGACTGCGACAAAATGCGCATGAGAAAGACCAACCGGAAATTGAACATCCGGGTAACAGAGCACATTTCTTTGGTCCGCCTTGGACGGGCCGACAGTTTTGGTATTACCCGAGCATGTGATTACTGAAGGGTATTCTTTCAGTCAAGCCAATGTCTGTCATAGACAAAAAAAAGTCTAAATTAGGTGTGCTGATAAAGGAGTTCTTGCATTGTCTGGCAATGAGAAACCGGAAGTGCCATGAATAAATATCTGCTATTATCAGTAAAAACTGAAAATTAGCAATAGCAAAAATAATATGCAAAATCGGGTCAAAACGACAAAGACAATTTATTTTGATGTGGACACTATATTTTGTTCAAACAGTGTAACAACGTCTTGACTGTACGTGATGAATCAATTGAAGAACAGGCATTCTTCGCTTGTTGGATACATAAATACCTTCAAGCAGTCATTTGTACTCAATCCAGCCCAAATGATGCTGCGGTTTGTGCAGTGAATCGGGTTGACTTTAAATGGTGTACCATTTGCTGTATTCAGAGTTCCGAACCATGAATCATTCAAACCTCTATGTATGTAACTCTCTATCCAAAATCAGAAACCTGAGGAATTATTTAAGGGCGAACAGTGTAAACAAAGTGGAAATAAATATTCATTTTCGCGATTGCTTTGCGTCCTGCCATCAGTTTGGAACAAGCTGCGACTTTGGTTGTTTTATATTTTATACCTTTAAAGTCAATATAAGACATTAATATTTAATGGCATTACGATATCACCTACCAAAATTGCTGATGGAGTTGCACACGAAACGACGGTCAGGGAAACGAACTTGAATATGCATGGAAGGCGGTGTCGATTCTTTGCCACTTAGTATATAACATAACAAGTTATGGTTTTTGCCTATTGAATTACAAACTAAGGTAAGATTTGAAATCAACACGGTATTATCAAAAGAGTGACGCAAAATTGTGACCTCAACGTTTGAACAAGCTGGCCGATGATATTCCAGGTTTCACTAAAACTATATGAGCTCGAACATTCGTTAAACATTGGTTTTATGACTGTTTAATCAATATTTTGATGTTTCTTATCACGTTATCAATGTAAATGATGTTCTTCAGATTAAAGTAATGCTCCAAGTAGAAAGATATAGAAGAAGTTGCCAGAGTGCTTCCTTTTCCAATTTTTTAAAGCTGCAAGTTGTTCCGCAAACTCTTGTGTCCAATTACCGAGTACCGGATCTTTACAGTCATCGCGCTCGGTCTTATATACCACGCATATCACTTCCTTTACTTACAGATGGTCAAGTTTTCGGTACATCAGCGATTCCAATGAACCATCAACTTTGTAGTAGATTCAAAAGCCTTCATTCATTCACCTTCCTTCGCCCTGTCGCCTGGATCATCTGGATCAGAGGTTATTCAATAACAGGTCACGACGGTCACACTCGCAGCACTGTCTGTTTTCATGGCGCATGAAGTTTTGCCACCCGTTGACAGGGAGACAGTGGTCTGGGGAATTTACTGACCGGTCCACAAATGTCGTCCTTTGTTTTTACCAAAGCTGTCTGTTCTGCCCACAGGGTAGCTGTGGCATTGGCAGAATTTTTCCTTAAAGGGGCTGGACGCTTTCGCCTCGTCATGAAACTGTCATTCAACACTGTTACTTTTCTCTAAGGAACAGATTTGTCGACCTCGAGCACAGCTACTTCCTGGTGGCCTCGTCGCTGCCTGTCCATGACCATTCATTTTTCGCGGTTAACCGACCAAGTCCCTTCCATATTCGCAACGCGGAGACGCTCCAGATGACCAGTAGCTAGGCAAAGTGACATTCTAGCGAAAGTCCAGTGAAGCCCGTCTCTCCAGCCTGTGGGAGGAAACGAACTTGATTTTGTTGCTTTGTTTCGTAATAAAGGGAAAAACTACAGCAAAGGTTCTTAACTAATTGTTGGACTAATTTTCAACACTGAAATTGGGTTCAAGTATATATACTGTAGTAATTTCATCATTGTAGCTATTCTTACTTAAGAAATTTTGCAACTGTTCAATTTCGTTGCTTGGTACACAAAATCAATGACACAAAACTAAGAGACCTAAGTTCTTGAGCTGTTTGCAATTTGAAAAAGTAAATTTTTTAGAGCAAGACTCTGGGTGTAAGTACCTGTTGGAATGTTAAGGCTTTTCATAGACGGCTCTTCGTTTTTATCCGGATTTTCTTAACCAGCAACTTCAAAGAGCTGATTTGAACCTAATCTTCGTTTAGCATGGTTTTGTTGACGTTTCCGAAATCATAAACAGTTGTCATAAAATTTGGATATGCGCGCACGGTAAAGGAAACATTAACTCTAAACACATAATAATTATTAGTTAATTATTAATCAAATATGTTGGCTGAAAAAGGCAACTGCGTAGCAAGCGTACGATTTTGTTTCGTTTCAGTACCTGGACAACTGAAATACCATCTGCTAGCTTATTCGAGACAATTAATGGAGCAAACGTTATTGTAGCTGAAACAATTTCATAACTCTTATTCATAATATTGTGCTGTTTCGTTTGTATATTATTTTCTTAATGACGACGCTGATATGCGGCGCTGAAACGCGTTAGATTTTACATATTCATTTTCGTTGTTTGCATTGGATACTTGACTCCGTACCAAAATATTGCATATTCGAAATATCGCATTTCTTCTAAAAAAATACTATGACAGAGTTACTTTAAGATAGACAGGATTCTTAGCAGAAGCATCTTGATGTCACAAGGGACAAAAATTTCCACGTCGATACACATGTGGTAAAGGTAGTGATCAAAGACGGCGATGCAGCCATTTTTTGAAACATCCAACTTCATTTCCAACTTTTCAATAACCCTAAAAGCTGCATCTAATAACTGGAAACTTCCTCTTGCTAATTGCATATACTTCAGCGAAAGCTACTTCTCAGACTCGTAATGTGGACCCAAGCAAATTTCGATTGGTTCTGAAAATTGCCGGTAGCGCATGGCAGCTAACCTATATGAATATCGTAGACTTTGTGGTAGATAATTTTGTAAATTGGTTAGTAGATTTATCCTAGCAGATTGTGCCTATCCCTTTCATCGGTGTCTTTCAAAGTGCACTTTGAGGTCTCATTCCACAAGGTCTCAATGAGACTTCGTCTGTGTCAGAACTGAGGCAAACAGAAAGTTCGTGATCGTTGAGATGGCTCGGAAAGATGGAATCTGTTAGAATCAATCCTCCTATAATAGCCCATACAGTTATGCAATGCTCTAAATTAATTTTCTATCCACGAACCGTTTCCTTTTTATCATTCAGTATTCCTTGTCTCGTTCCCGTGTATTTTGTTTACATTATATGCGTATCGTTATACCAATGGTTCGGTGAATATCGAAATGTTAGTTGGTTCTAGTCTTACATGTCATCTCTGTCAATTCAAGCAGTAAATTCATTATTGATTGATTTTCAATGCTGGTGGGTGGAGAAGAAGAAATTTTCCGTTTAAGCCGTTTCTTTCCAACGATCGAGTGAACCTACAAGCTGCTGCACGTTCGAAGCATTTGACCCAAAGTTGTCTAAACCGAAGCAGTTCAACCTTCGAAAAAACGCAGCGTCTTTAAATGCGATGAAGATGACAAGTTCAGCATTTATAATGAGATGAATTGCAAAAGCTATGATAGGATTTACACATGGAAAACATAAAGCCCCATACAGTACGCATGGAAGAACCACCTCAAGTACAAAGATGCAATTAGTAGGAACCGTCAAGAAAATTTTCTCACTGTAAGGCATCCTGAAAATCGAAACGTCATTTCATCCTGAAAAAGTCAATACCGCTGATGCAAGATCACCAGCTTTAACACATTTCTAGGAAGCTCGTACGTCTTCCGTTCGTTCAATAATAACACCTGCTCTGACGATGATCACACCTGTTGATATCCGTTATGCCTGAAAGGGTTTAACTCGATCTTCTACTAGAGTTCATCGCTTTTTTTAGCTTTAAGCACTTATTCCCCCTCCCCTTCGATCAGTGTTACCCGAATGCTTCATTGCTTTTCATTTCGCTTGTACATTTTTAACGTCTTGCTTTTCGACCATCGATTGCTAGCAGTGTCTCTGCATCTAATGATCTTATTCGTTGTTGTAATATTATGTAAGCTTTCTGATGGCATTATTTGGGCCGGAAGTCGAAACGTTACCTTTATCGCACCTAAAACTACCGTTTGAAGAGAAAGGTGGAAGTTTCAACTTCATCAGCACGTATTGAAAATGAATGACGAAGTTATGGGGTCCCAATATTCACCAACTTATCAAAATTGTTTATTATGGACCTTAGATTGATTGCACATGCAACTTGAATGCTGATGTTACTGTGAACGTCAAAAATTTGCATTGAGTTTATACTCTTGGTGACCTGGAGAAAGCAGTGGCCATCCTGAAGGAAAGTTTTGACATAGTGATGCTGATCTCTCTCCAGAAGTTGCGATTCAGGTAACCGTATATAATGGGGTTGACACAAGTCGATGTGAGGGACAGCAGCTTGAAGCTCTCGTCCAGTTGCATGACGATGGACACCGTGCTCTCGCGCCACGTGTACGTGTGAAACAGGTGGATGAAAAGACTGAGCACGACGAATGGCATCCACAGTAAGGCATAGCTGCCGAACATGAGCATCAGCATCTTGTTGGCCGCTCTGCGTTTGTCCACCGAACAAATGGCACTGGTTTTCAGGAAGGTGCCGTGGTCTTGCGAAGAATACCGTTGCTCTCTCTTGGACAGGAACTGGCTGAGGCGAAAGTTGAACACCGTCAACGTCAGTAAAGGAATCAGACACAAGAAGACGGCCTGAGCAGCGCTCACCATGGCGTCGTACATTACAACACAGCGTTTCGCCTCCTGCCTGGTTTGATTGCCGGACTTGCGGCAGACGGCCGGCTGGAACGAGCACGTGGTGAGCAGATGCACCTCTTCGCTCTTGCCGAACTGCTCCGCGAACTCCTTTGGAAACTTGAAGCTTTCCAGGCCAAAGCTCAGGAGGTAGGGCAAAGAAAAAATGATCGACACAATCCATATCAGGCAACAAACGGACAGCACCGACGCCATGCGCATTGTGTTGTACAGTCTGAATCGCACCGCCGTCACCGTGTAGTACCGCTGGATGGCCAGAACGGAAATGGTCAGCGTTGAACAATAGATATTGCTACCGGGAACGGCGTTCGCCAGCTTGCACAGGAAGCGGTTATGCGAGAAATCGCCAACCGAGGCCGGTCTCCACAAAAACGGTATGTACAGTACGGTCAAGAGGAAATTCGACAACGCCAAGTTACCGATGAGGATATTCTGAGGTTTGCGCAGCTTCGGCTTAGTCGACAGCAGGTAGATGATTGACGCATTCATCAGTATTCCAAACGTACAAACTACGCTGTAGGCGACGGTAAACGCAACGATCTCAGAGTAATTGAAAATCCGTGGTCGAGCCTTTTCCCTCAGACAAAGCTTCCAGTAGTTTTGGTTGCTGAGGTTGAAATCCCCCAAGAAGCATTCCATTTTTTGTTCGTCCTCCTTGAGGCCGCTGAGACCACAATTTCTCAGTCGTTCTGGGCGATGAACGAAAATTCAGTCTTCAGTTTCTGATGCCTGAAACACGTTCGTTAAAGAATTCAATCAACGTAAAATTTATGTTTAGGGTAATAGACATAGATAAGAGTGATTTCTTAGCGAGGGCTCCGCCGGGTAAAATAGCAGTCAGCTGGGAACCAAGAAATTTTGGGTTCTATCAGTCAACTGTACAAGTGATACGTTTCGTTTGCATGTCGGACCCGTTCCTTCCTTGCCTGGTGAAGGTGCGTTTTATGATGTCTACAGTATGGCCCCTCGGTACCAAATTCATGTACTGGAGATGACGGAAGCTGGTCTCTGGTGGAGGGGGACGCTGGACTTGTAGGAAGGGTGGTCATTTTGGTAGTTAGGCCAGAGCAGATTAAGTCATGCCGATGTTATCATCCTGTTTCCCTCAGGGTAAGCTGGGCGGTCATTTCGATGGAACTGGTGTCGGAGAGAATAAATTAGACGATACTGAATATCACTCTCGCCTATGACCGGACAAACGTGTCGAGTGACAACGACAAAAACTTTCCCAATGATTGATTGAGGTTGGTCACCTCAACATCAAAATTGTTACAAGAGATCTCAGAGAGAAAGTAAACGCCGAGTACAGCACATGGCCAGGTGTTTGACCTTAACGGTATTGACAGCGTGAATGACAATGGCAGGTATCTGTTAAAGTTTTGGGCCAGAAACAGTTAAATCATCGGCGGGGCCCATTTTCCTCATAAGTTTATTCACTCAACCACTTGCGCGTTTCGTGATGAAAGACTAACCAGCTAGATAGACCATGTTCTCATCAACCGCATTGGCACAGTTCCTTACTCGGGACTGTATTAGACGTGTGTCTGCATTGGATATGATTATCGCATGGTCATAGTTAAGTTTCACTTGGTATGCGAGTTCCCTCAGCTTTAGGGCTACATTTACAATGCTCTCTGACCATGCAGAAAATCTTGTAATGCCATGGAATACTCAAGCACATCGACTATATTTTGAAAGAGACATGTGTAAAAACCATGTCTTCTGTCAAAGTTGATGGAGGGCTCTCTGAATGGTTCCCTCTTAACTATGGAGTTTACTAAAAGTGATGCTTTAATTTTGTTGATCAATTTTTCTCGACTTTCCCCTACGGAAGAATGCTGACCCTGGCAAGGCGGAAAGCCTGATTCTAGAGGTTCAAGATATTCGGCTAGACATCATGTTGACATGGAGTATGCAGATGCCACAATGAGTAATACGGGAAGCGGGCTCTGTCACATGATAGTCACAGCTGCGAAAGTTGGTCTCTTCCCTAAAGACTGGAAGTCAAACATTATGAGAAATCCATTAGACACAGTTGATCTGAAAGTGGAAGAGTGGAATGAAGCCCTTGAGGAGGTTGATTAATTTTAGTACCCATACCCCACCATCTCCAACGATGACACTATCCAACGAAAGTTAAGTAGGAGGACTAGCCTATCCCCGAGCACTTTCGGAAGCCTGTCCCATATATTGGCTGAGGAGTTACTCTTCCCACGAAATTCTGCTTGCACCTTGACTCTGTCAGGTCAGCACTGTTATACAAATTGGAGACAGATGTTCTAGCGAAGGAGCAAGAACGCCAGTTGATTCCATGCGGCAGTAGTTGCACTGACACATAATGATGCGTAAGCGGCAAACACACGTAGGGAATAACTCTATTTTCTTCTTGCCACAGATGACCTTCGCGGATATGGAAATTTTGAAAAAGAGGTTAGCCCTGTTACAGGGACTCGTTAAGCGTACACTGTTTACTCTAGCCTTTGAGCCTCTCGCGTTGCAGCTGAAACACGGCAGACGTAAACCAGGAGGCCAGCATGCAACATGGAGGAACAAAGAAGAGGCATATCAATATTCAGGGAATAAGTTTTTTTCTTCGCTGCAGCTGCCAGCGCTTTATAGAGAACTGTTGAAAAGGTGAAGAGAAAGTAGGTATCACAGGCCAGACACTTTCTGCTCATGCAAATGACTCAAAGTGATGATTTCAACAATAGGAATTGCATTCAATTAAGCTCAATTTGAGATGTTAGAGGTTTCCTTTAACTTGAGTTTCAGCTTTACGGTTTAGATGGCATGTTTACTCGACAGATATGGATTAACAACCGATTTGTCGAGTTTCGCGATCGTCTTTCATGCGCTTCTGAGCTTCAGCGTCTTTCATACGTGTATGAAAACGATCGGATACATGAATTACAACATGATTGCATGCGTCTGTACGTCAGACGCCGCAGTGGCTAACGAACTGTCGGCAAGAAATGGCACAGATATGACAATGACCTCAATTATTTGGCCTCTGTAAGCTGACTTCCCTCGCTAACTGATCGAAATCTGAGTTTCACGTTGTGCTAAAAAATATTATTCTGGATAGTCTACCGTTAGGTGGGTCAAGAGCAAGTGCGGCCAAAAGGGTTCCTCGCATATTATGGCAGAATACACGCACTTCGTTATGATATAACCACACAGAGTACCATTCTGTCCGTATTAAACTCGAGTCAGTGCCTGGCTGTCTGTTTAATTCCTTGCTGAATTGAGTTCTCGGTTGAGACAACGGCTTGCTTTCAGGGCATTCGCAGCTGGCATATGCAGAGTTCAAAGCCAATTTTTCTGCCACTGTGCCACCACTGATTGCCAGAGAGATTTGCATTACGAGTGTAGACGGTAGGTTGGCAGAAAAAGATACAGAAAAGGTTCAATCGATGCTGCAGCGATTAAATCAGAAAGTTGATCAAACAAAACACCATTAACACTACAGTGACACGGGGTAACGAAATATGACGTAACTTAGTGCTTCAACCTCCGTCATATGGGAAGAAGACGATAATGACTGGAAAAGACTGTGCCGTTATGATTCGAAATCGAAATTGAGGTTGTACCTTGAGCTGATTAATACAGTTATTACAATGAACAGTCAACCATCAGGTGTGTCAAGGTAAATTGCAGCCACAAGAATACTACACTGTCCCTACTATTCGCAAGTCACAGACTTACTAGACGATTTTTGGCTGGTTGTGCTGAAGCAACATCGGCTTAATTTCATGGATATAGGGAATTAGCGGGTAAGAAAAAGTTTGTCCGTCCAGCGAATTCACGGCGGCCATTACGATTACAATTATTAAGTACTATTTATGCGCACTGGATTATGGCTCCCTTTTAAAGCTATCGTTAACTCACCTGATTAGAGCAGTGACAAATTATATGAAAGTTTATTTTTGTAATAAATTTCTACCTTGCATAGAAAACGCGGCTTCATAGACATATCAACTATCTCGAGTGACTGCCTCTGGTACTTCGTTTATCACCTAAGAAAGCGTCTGACACCATCACAATTTATTACAAAACGAAAGTCGGACGTCAAACGCAAAGAACAATATTAACTAGAAAATTTGGTAAGCGCCCTCAGAGCATTGAAACGCGTGCATTCCGCTGGAAGCATTCTCTTAATTAAGACCTCCTGCAGAGCAAGAAAATCGACCTTTCACGGAGCACAGTGAGTCATGGATCAACACGTCGTCGGTTAGGTTTTTTGGCCTCGCGCAATGTGTTGAAAGATCTTAGAGAGATGGAGTAATTTATTCTAATCGTCGACGAGAAAGTTGCGACTTTCATTTATCACAGTCACATTTATTGCTCATAACAATAAATGAGCGAATGAAAAAAATGAATCGTGTCATCGATCGAATTGTCCAAAAAACCTTGTTAGACTAAAACGCCTTTCATTCACCGCTAGGCCGCCTTTCTGTGCAAAGCCACCGTATGACAGGCGGCCATGGGGCAGGGCAGATTGAGCGCTTGCTGGATCTGTCAGGATATTGGACTCCCGGCATCTTCCCGAGAGACGTGATTTATTCGAGTGATTGTTGGTGGAAAAGG